TGTGTGTATGCATTATGATAAAGTCTTTAATTACATGATCACATACTTTTTTTCCTCAGGACCCCTACCTCATTCAGTGCAGAGGATGGGTGATTCTCACTTAATGGGCAGCTGTTCAATATTTTATTTTATCCTTATTGTTCAGTGTGTGCCCCATGCCTTATTTACTGCACACTATTCAAACACTACTCAGAAGACAGAATGATTAATTTCCTTATGGGTTTATCTGTGGTGTTCAACACTATAGTATATGAGTGCTTCACAAATGTTAATTTTCACAACATCCCTGTGAGATGAGGGCATAGTATTATCCCCATTCTAAAGATGGAGAACTGAGGCCCAGAGAGATTAAGGTAAAAAATTCCATTAATTTTGGGTTGTCAATTTGAGACACCCTGATTCATCCTCAGAACAGGTCTATCCTATTCACTGAATGAGGCAGGTGACTTATGGAAAAAAATTGCATATGGTCATGTAACTAAAGACTGCACCATAATGCATATACACAAAGGGGCTGAATTAAGGTGACACAGGCACCTTAATTCTGGCATTTCCTTACTTTTGAGTGGTTGAATTTGTAACCTTAATATTGTTCTTTTAATAGTTTGTGCATGTGGCATCGTACTGATGCCCACATGAGTCATCAGCAGGGTTGCAACCTACAGGTTACATCTACTCTTGGAGCTAGAAAAGGAATACTTGTGGCACCTTAGAGACTAACAAATTTATTAAAGCATAAGCTTTCATGAGCTACAGCTCACTTCATCGGATGCATACAGTGGAAAATATAGTGGAGAGATTTTATATACACAGAGAACATGAAACAATGGGTGTTACCATACAGACTGTAACAAGAGTGATCAGGAAAGGTGAGCTATTACCAGCAGGAGAGTGGGGGGTCATGGGGGGGGGGGACCTTTTGTAGTGATAATCAAAGTGGGCCATTTCCAGCACTTTACAAGAACAGTAGGAGGGGAAATAAACAAGGGGAAATAGTTTTACTTTGTGTAATGATCCATCCACTCCCAGTCTTTATTCAAGCCTAAGTTAATTGTATCCAGTTTGCAAATTAATTCCAATTCAGCAGTCTCTCGTTGGAGTCTGTTTTTGAAGTTTTTTTGTTGAAGAATTGCCACTTTTAGGTCTGTAATCGAGTGACCAAAGAGATTGAAGTGTTCTCTGTCTGGTTTTTGAATGTTATAATTCTTGACGTCTGATTTGTGTCCATTTATTCTTTTACGTAGAGACTGTCCAGTTTGACCCATGTACATGGCAGAGGGGCATTGCTGGCACATGATGGCATATATCACATTGGTAGATGTGCAGGTGAACGAGCCTCTGATAGTGTGGCTGATGTGGTTAGGCCCTATGATGGTGTCCCCTGAATAGATATGTGGACACAGTTGGCAACCATCTTTGTTGCAAGGATAGGTTCCTGGGTTAGCATTTTTGTTGTGTGGTGTGTGGTTGCTGGTGAGTATTTGCTTCAGGTTGGGGGGCTGTCTGTAAGGAAGGACTGGCCTGTCTCCCAAGATCTGTGAGAGTGATGGGTCGTCCTTCAGGATAGATTGTAGATCCTTGATGATGCGATGGAGAGGTTTTAGTTGGGGGCTGAAGGTGACAGCTCGTGGCGTTCTGTTATTTTCTTTGTTGGGCCTGTCCTGTAGTAGGTAACTTCTGGGTACTCTTCTGGCTCCGTCAATCTGTTTCTTCACTTCAGCAGGTGGGTATAGTAGTTGTAAGAACAGGATCTAATTCCCAGCTTGTGCAGATATACGACCACTAGTTTTCTTTGAGCTAGTGCACTAAAGATAGTAGTATAGTCATTAGGGTTGCCAGGTGTCCCGTTTTTGACCAGCAAGTCTGTTGAAAAGGGGACCCAACAGTGTCCGGTGAGTACTACTCACTGGACACTAAAAGTCTGGTCACTTGAGTAACTGTCCACAATTGGCTTCCATTCTGCCACCAGGAGGGTGGGAAGAGCAGCTGCTGCTGGAGCTGGAAGAGCATTCAGGAACTGCCGGCTCTGGCGCAGAGAGGTATGGCGGCCAGCGCTCTCGGGGAGGTATCCTGAAGCATGCGGCGTTTGAGGAGTGGGCCAGTGACTGGGTTTACTACCCAGACCTCCTTCTCAGCCTCATTTGTGCTGGTCCCTGTCCTGACCCAGTCACCCCTCCACCTCCGGAGCGTGGCTCTAACTCCTCCATCCTGCCCCAGTCATCCCCCACCACCTCTGGTGCGTAGCTCTCCCTCCCCCGTCTTGCCCCAGTCATTCCCCACCTCCAGAGTGCGGCTCTCCCTCCCCAGTCCTGCCCCAGTCACCCCTCACCCCTGGAGCGTGGCTCTCCCTCCCCAGTCCTGCCCCAGTTATCCCCCAGAGCATGGCTCTCCCTTCCGCATCCTGCCCCAGTCACCCCCCAGAGCACGGCTCTCCCTGCCCCAGTCACCCCCATCCCTGGAGCGCACCCCCATCCCTGGAGCATCCCTCCCCCATCCTACCCCAGTCACCCCCCAGAGCACGGCTCTCCCTTCCCCATCCTGCCCCAGTCACCCTCACTCCCACCCCCAGAGTGTGGCTCTTCCTCCCCTGTCCTGCCCCAGTCACCCCTCCACCCCCAAGTGTGGCTCTCCATCCCCTGTGCTGCCCCAATCACTTACCCCAGAGCAAGGCTCTCCCTTGAACGTCCTGCCCCAGTCACCCCTCCACCCCTAAATCCCTGCTCAGCTGGTAGGGGGAGGGAGGTGGAGAGAGCAGCAAGCGATGGGGGTGAAGAGGTGGAGCAGGGGGAGGGCTTTAGGGGGAAGAAACAGAGTGGGCAGGGCCTTAGGAGGGAAGAGTCAGAGCACGGGTGGGGCTTCGGGGGGGAAGAGGTGGAGTAGGGGGCGGGAGAGGTTCCAGCACTCAGTGTCCATTTTTCACAAATTAGAAAGTTGGCCACCCTAGTAGTCCTGATAGCATGGGCAGAGGCTATTGGTGGCATGAGTTCGCCATCCTGAGCACATACCCACAGGGTCCAGGAGGGTTTGTACTCTGGGCAGCTAGCTGTTTGCTGCTGCCTGCGCGACAGTGGCTATACTACTATTTTTAGCACGCTAGCTTGACGAGAGCTAGTGTGAGTATGTCTACGTGAGTTGGAAATCGCACCCCTAGCTACAAGTATAGACATACCCTTAGATCCACCACGCAGACCTCTGCCATTTTGAGCTAATGGACTAACTGATAGAGGATGATAACCAGTGTCTGCTATGTGGACCAGCACCAGAGCAGAATGGGACACTTGCTAATGGGTTTCACAGACATTTGCTGACAGCAGAGGAATGGTGGGACTCAGAAATCTTGGATTTCACTCTAGTGGGCACAGATTCTTCTGACCATTCCCCAAGGTGTTACCCTTTCTGCCCTGTCCTCTCCAACCTATCTCTTCCCCAGTTCCATATTTTCTGGCATGGAAAATTTCAGCCCACAAAGTTAAAGTCTGGCAAAATTATAAATAGCTGAAACAGACTCTTACAAGGGTGAGTGTCAGGCAACCTGGGTGCTACCAGTCCCACCTTTAATGAACCATAAACCTCTGGGGTTCTAATCTGTCTCCACAATTGTAGGTGTATTCTCGCAATGCAACTGCAAGCCACCTTGTTATTTGTTCTATTCTTGTTTGTTACAAGTGTATTGAATTTTGCTGACACAGGAGAAGGCGGGCAAAGTACCTGGCAAATTAGCCTCCTTTTAGTTTTATAATTACTATTATACAGATAGATATTACTATTATACAGAGCATAGTTCTTAATGTTGTTTTTTTTTAAGTAGAACTTCATATCAAAGTCCGTCGCAAAAATTTGCTAATCAGTCCTCGCAATACTGGTGAGGTTAAGAAATATTATATAAAACAAAAAGAAAAGGAGTACTTGTGGCACCTTAGAGACTAACCAATTTATTTGAGCATGAGCTTTCGTGAGCCACAGCTCACAAAAGCTCATCCTCAAATAAATTGGTTAGTCTCTAAGGTGCCACAAGTACTCCTTTTCTTTTTGCGAATACAGACTAACACGGCTGTTACTCTGAAACCTTATATAAAACAATTATAGAACAAAGGCATACCACTAAACATTGGTATGTTAAGCAAGACTCAAAGATGGCTGTACTGACCATTATTTATTTCACTTCATTATAGCAGGACCAAGCACTATAATTAAGGTTTCATAATGGCTTCTGGTGGAAGGGAGAGAAGCAAGTGGGGAGAAGATCATCTAGGAAGGAGCAAGTTCCTTTCTTATTTTGTTACCTTGACCATTCCATGTTCCTCTATGATTCTTAGTTTTCCTTCTGCCTCTACTCACAGTCCTCCTCTTTCACACTCTTTGATTTAATCTTCCACATTGATGTCTCTTCTGACCCATTAGTTGCTGCCTCCTCAGCTTCATTTCCTCATCCTCCCCTCTGCAGTTGATCTTCAGCCCTAGAAAGCTCCTTCACTCACCACGATGGCCACTCATTAAATCTTGTTCTGGATAAAAACTCTTTCTTCTCTGATCTATCAATTTCAGTTCTCCCTCTCTGATCAACACCGAATCTCCATCAGTGTTGCCCCTAGCCCCATTGCACAGGTATTTCACGACACTTCAGTCCATCACTGGTCAGGGATTCCTCTGCTGCTGTCCGTCCCCTCTTCTGCTGATGCTCTTCTGGCACTACTGCAATGTGTTTAAAAATAGTTGTGTGTGTATCCATAACCATATGTCAAAGTCCTACTTCACATGAGAAAAACAGGATACAGTAGATGCTTGTTTGCAGCAACACCTTGTAAGCGCAACATTTCCCCAGGAAACACGTTTCCTACTATAAATTGTCAACACTCCCCATAACAGCAACAGCTGCTTAGAAGCAACATAGCAAAAGGGCACCGATACAATGAAATTAATTACATACAATGAAAGCATGTGTGTAACTTCTCTGGTGGTAGTAGTAGGAATAAATGACACAGTGTGTTCTCTCTTTCTAGGGGCAAAGTTAAGAAGCTGCTTTGACTATGAAGAGAGCTTGACTCAGTTTGTCTAATTCTTTTTTAAACAGAAGATGATAAGTAAAAGTGAATCCTATACTTCAGGGCAGGAATCTGTGATCAACTCAACCTGGCTGATTTACGTATTAAAAGAATGGATTGGTCTGGACTACCACTATCCAAACTATATGGGCTCCTTCTTGTGTGTGTCACTCACAATATTCTTTTTTCCTTATTTACTCTGGTTTATCGTTTGCATCTTTTGTAATATTTGCCTTCACATTTACAAGAGAAAGAACGGCCTAGATGATGATTTTTCCAATAAACTATGGGACAATGGAAGGCTAATGGTGTCACGCATAATTAGTATGTATGGAAAGCTATGGCACGGTAAGAGATTTTTTTCCCCTTTAAACACTAAATATGTATTACTGCAACAGGTGACTACATGGCAGGGGTTCCTAAACATCGTTCATGGCTTGTCCAGGGTAAGCCCCTGGCAGACCGCGAGACGCTTTGTTTACCTGAGCGTCTGCAGGTACGGCCGCTCACAGCTCCCAGTGGCCACAGTTTGCCGTTCCCAGTCGATGGGAGCTGCGGGAAGTGGTGCGTTGGCCCGCGCCGCTTCCCGCAGCTCCCATTGGCTGGGAATGGCGAATTGCGGCCACTGGGAGCTGCGAGCGGCCACATCTGCAGATGCTCAGGTAAACAAAGCATCTTGTGACCTGCCAGGGGCTTACCCTGAACAAGCCATGAACCAAGTTTGGGAACCCCTGCTATATGAACATTTTGAAGACTGATAGGACCAAAGTTTGACCTACCTTTTCTTTTATCTGTTTAAAAATTCCATTCCATGTACTTTTTTTGTGCATTCCTTTTTCAAAGCAAATTTTATAGGGGAGTAAAAAAAATATTCCAATAGCTCAGCAATGAAAGAAGGAGGAAAATTCAGTTAGGAAACAAATTTCAGTTTTCAGGCTGAAGCAAAAGATAGTTTATGAATATTTTTGAAAGGGGTCTTTAAAATGCTGTTAACAATCATTTTTTATTGTGTATTGTGAGGTGCTATCATTTTATTATTAAAAATTGGTATTCTGAACATTTTGGGGCTGAACTATAGTTACACTCAAATGGGGTTCACTGATAGCTATGAGAATTGGTTGATATTTCCGAGGCATTTTGAGCCATCAAAGATAATACGAATGATGTAGGTTTTCAGCTCTAGCCCAGTGGTTCCCAACCTTTTCTCTTCTGCAACATACCTTGAATTATTTTGAGGAACACCATCATATAGTCTCCAAATGAGCTTCCCTTCTTACCGCCTCGGTTTAAGCTGTTTACCACCCTTGTCACAGTCTGTAGTTTCCAAATCAGTTCTGCGCCCAGCCCCCATCAGTTCTGTCTTCACCATCCACCAGTTCAGCCCCCACCTCACCCCAATTCTGCCACACCCCACCCAGCCCCCACCGTTCTGCCTCTCCAGCTCCCCTCAGCCCCCACTAATTCCATCCCCCCACCATGGGCGGCAGTTGAAGCTTCCTCTTGGGGAGGCTAGCCCCTTCCCCGCCTCTTTCAGCCGAGGCCCCACTCCTTCCACATGTGGCCCCCCCCATGGCCCCTCCGCACCTTCCCTCATGACCCTACCCCCATTCTGCCACCACTCCGCTTCTTTCCCCTGAGGCCCCACCCCCAACTTGTTCCTTTCTACCTTTGCCCCCCACACCCCAGCTACAGCCCTAAGACTGGAAAAGCTCTGTGCCCCCACTGCGGCCCTGGGCTGCAGCAGGGAGCAAGAGCTCCTCCAGCCCAGGGGCTGTGGTGTGGGGAGATTTTTCCAGGGGCTCCAAACTGGCCAGGGTCCCTGGGCATGGGCCCCGGGGCCCATGGGTAATCTGCTTCTGCCCTCCCTCCCCCCCCACCCAGTGGTGTGAGGTTTGGGGAGGCTTAGCTTCCCTCAGCCTCTGTTACGCACTACCCATACCCCTTGCCTCACCTCTGCTTCTCCTAGGGTTCTTCCCCACCTCCCAATGGTGGGGGGTTGCACTAGGGTCCCGCTCCACTTCCTGGCTGCAGCGGGGAGGAGCAGAGGACCCAACCCATTGCTCACACAGGATATGGGGGTGGGGAGAGGGAAATTGAGTTCTGATTGGTTGCTCTGCCCATGGAGGCGGTGAAGCAATGAGGAAGATAGCCAGGCAGAAGGTGGCTTTCCCCCCATTTCTTCCCTCTCTCCTTCCCCCACTCCACAGAACTCAAATTTGCTATCTTAACCTTGGTTTGGGGAATGGAATGTGATGCATGCATAATATTTAAAAGGGGCCTTGCCCTGGAAAGCAAAAGTACAGAATGCGATCTGGCTCTGACACTAAAATACAAGGGAAGATATTTTTGTTCTCATGTGTAGTTTTTCAAAAAATTCCACAGCACACCTGTTGGGAAACACTGCTCTGAGCTATTGGTTCTTATGCAGCCCAAGTTGGTAGTAATGAGCTCTTGACAGCTGATGCTGTTTTACTTCTGGGCTGTCTACACTTGCTTTTATGTAAAAATGTCTCACTGTTCTTATCTCTGATGTGGCTTCACCTATAGTACCAATGGTGGGAAATTTTCAAAGAAAAAGTGTACTGTAGAGAAGGAACATAAGTACTGGTGTGGTCTTATAAATTTTAGAATTGCCAGACACGTGATGGATTGTGAGTTTTTTGTTTAAATTGGAATTACAAGCATAGTAGATGAAGTTAATGTAGTAGACATAGGCGCTGACTCCGTGGATGCTCAGGTAAACATTTTGAAATTCTACAGTATGTGCAATGGAACTAAATTCTGAAGGGAACAACCCCTAAATTCTGTTCCAATGTTAACGTATTATTGCTAGGAAATACTCTTCATTTTCCATGTCTCCTGTCCGTTCCCCCTGTACGTACGTACACACACACACACACATTTTGGCTCCTATGATGTTGTCAAGGTGGCCTGAGTCAGAACGTCCACCCTCATGAAAGTGGAGCATGAAGCTGGCTTCATTGGATCTTGGCTGCAGTGCCTTGGCAGCCCAGCTCACACTTCTGGCTCCTTTCACTCAGAATCCTAGAATCATACAGATGTAGAGCTGGAAGGGACCTCAAGAAGTCATCTAGTCCAGTCCCTGGCACTGAGGCAGCAGTCCTTGGCTCTCATGGGGAGGGAAGGAGGCAGAGTTCATGGGGTCCTGATTGAGATGAGCAGAGCAGTTTACACCTCTTACAGGTATTGTTTCAGACTCTCTGTAGACTCTTGAAGACATTACTGCATTGATTTACTCACGTCAAATTTCAAGGTTTTCTCTGCAACCATATAGGCTAGAAACAATTTAAAAAAAGAGAGTGCTGGGATTCTGGAGCAGAATTGTGTGCAGAGGAGTAAATTCTGCATCAGATTCTCCAGGCGTGAAATACACTTGACCCTGCTTGGGAGTGTGTCAAGGTTCCTCCCCCACTCTGAACTCTAGGATACAGATGTGGGGACCTGCATGAAAAACCTCCTAAGCTTATCTTTACCAGCTTAGGTCAAAACTTCCCCAAGGTACAAAATATTCCACCCTTTGTCCTTGGATTGGCCGCTACCACCACCAAACTAATACTGGTTACTGGGGAAGAGCTGTTTGGACGCGTCTTTCCCCCCAAAATACTTCCCAGAACCTTGCACCCCACTTCCTGGACAAGGTTTGGTAAAAAGCCTCACCAATTTGCCTAGGTGACTACAGACCCAGACCCTTGGATCTTAAGAACAATGAACAATCCTCCCAACACTTGCACCCCCCCTTTCCTGGGAAATGTTGGATAAAATGCCTCACCAATTTGCATAGGTGACCACAGACCCAAACCCTTGGATCTGAGAACAATGAAAAAGCATTCAGTTTTCTTACAAGAAGACTTTTAATAAAAATAGAAGTAAATAGAAATAAAGAAATCCCCCCTGTAAAATCAGGATGGTAGATACCTTACGGGGTAATTAGATTCAAAAACATAGAGAACCCCTCTAGGCAAAACCTTAAGTTACAAAAAAGATACATAGACAGAAATAGTTAGTTATTTTATTCAGCACAGTTCTTTTCTCAGCCATTTAAAGAAATCATAATCTAACACGTACCTAGCTAGATTACTTACTAAAAGTTCTAAGACTCCATTCCTGGTCTATCCCCGGCCAAGACGGAATATAGACAGACACATAGACCCTTTGTTTCTCTCCCTCCTCCCAGCTTTTGAAAGTATCTTGTCTCCTCATTGGTCATTTTGGTCAGGTGCCAGCGAGGTTACCTTTAGCTTCTTAACCCTTTACAGGTGAGAGGAGCTTTCCCCTGGCCAGGAGGGATTTCAAAGGGGTTTACCCTTCCCTTTATATTTATGACAGAGTGAAAGTAGGCAACGTATTTTGGATGTAAGTTTGCGATACAATGTGGCAGCACAAAAGGCCAGTGCATCACATCTGAAATGGAATTGTTAATAATACATCTCCTGTATAGTTTGGTGAGACTATTTATCCTACTTGTTGCCAAAGTGCACAAAATTTGGAGTGGATAAGAGGGGAGAGCTGAAGCGTCCCAGAATTTCCAGACATACATTAGTTATGAAGGGTAAAACTCAGACACACAGAAGCGAGAGGCATAATTAAATAAAGTGTTTCATTCCTTTGGCCTTGAATGTCACCCCACCCACGACTGTCTAAGACCTTTGTCGCAGAATGTACTTCAGCTTCTCAATGGTGGGGTAGGTTTGGGGAACCTATGGAGTGGATAAGAAGTGGAACTGCCATATCTAATTACTTATCTAATCCAGTAGCCCATCTCTGATAGGGGCAACTACCAATTGTTTCAGAGGAAGGTGCTATAATGGATAATTATGAAATAACCTGCCCAGAGGGAAAACTTCTTCCTAAGATCATCAGTTAATGGTTGCCTTATTCCCTTAAGTATATATCGGTCTATATCCCTTACTGGGGAATAATAAACTATCTTGTATAATAATACTGTAAGCTGTTCTCTTTATGCAGATGCATGTTGTCATAAATATAAAGGGAAGGGTAAACACCTTTAAATCTCTCCTGGCCAGAGGCAAAACCCTTTAACCTGTAAAGGGTTAAGAAGCTAAGATAACCTCACTGGCACCTGTCCAAAATGACCAATGAGGAGACAAGATACTTTCAAAGCTGGATGGAGGGGAAACAAAGGCTCTGTCTGTGTGATGTTTTTAGCTGGAACTAGAGCAGGAATGCAGGTCAGAACTCCTGTAAAAAGTCAGTAAGCAATCTAGTTAGAGATGCGTTCGATTCTGTTTTGTTTAAATGGCTGATAAAATAAGTTGTGCTGAATGGAATGTATATTCCTGTTTTTGTATCTTTTTGTAACTTAAGGT